CATAATTTTCATAAAAACGCTGCTACACAACTAAGCAGCATCACGATTTTTGCAATCGATCCCGCAGATCCCCAGTTAAAACAGAATTCAGTTGTAATTAGTAGTCCCGGCGAAATAAAACGAGAAAAACTTGCTCGGCTGAGCCGTAAAATTCGCCGTTTCTCAGGGACACGAATGAACAAGAGTTTCGCGTACACGGAACCAGATCCCGAGGGCATGCCGAACACGTAATCGCCGGTACGCACGTGGAACACGATATGCATGATCGAGCCCGCACAAAAATGCGAGCTCCCGGGCCGCGCGGAAATTAAAGCGGGTCGCGCGAGACATATCTGCTTGTTTCTCAAGCGTTGCCCGTCGCGAATGCTAATCAGCACAACGCGCGTAAACATGTTCGATTCACGTTTAATTGCGTTTTACGCGGGCGCACCGTGCCGGATAATCTGTCGCATCGATCATGAAGAATTCTGTTGGGTCGAGATCGGTTGAACGAGCTCTTGCGCCTCGTCGGATGACAACTGGAGCGCGGTGATCAACTGCAAATTGAACTTTGCGAATTTACTTATATGAGCCGTTTATTTTGAAAGTGGCGTAAGTCACTTTGTTTTTAAGTCGATATATTTAAGGGTTTGCGTTTTAACACGTTTAAAAATATGGATGCTAACTTTCGAGAAGATTTACTTGTATTTGTTATCTCAGGATACTGATATTTTTCTCAGTATAAATAATTTCACATAAACATTAAAAAATCACCACTTTCAAAATAAACGGCTCATACGCATGCTGAAAATTTGATCAAGACTGGCTAACGCACAGTCAAGCTGCAGTCGCTGAAAAAGATGTAAAAATCTGTAGCTCTTTTACAGTTCTGTTTTAGTTCTTTGTAACACGTAACAACGTCAACCGAGAGGATGGCATTACTTTTGGAGCATGACATTTGTAGGATGACAAAGCTTACATAAACCCCGACATAACATTAACACAACCCTGAAAATTCAAATTGAAATAGTTCAATATAATGTTGACATAACTTTGACATAACCCTGACATAATCCTGACATAACTTTGATATAACATTAACGCAACCCTGAAAATTCAAATTGAAATAGTTCAATATAATGTTGACATAACTTTGACATAACCCTGACATAATCCTGACATAACTTCGATATAACATTAACGCAACCCTGAAAATTCAAATTGAAATAGTTCAATATAATGTTGACATAACTTTGACATAACCCTGACATAATCCTGACATAACTTCGATATAACATTAACACGACCCTGAAAATTCAAATTGAAATTGAAGTTGAAAATAATGTTGACATAACCTTGACATAACCTGCACGAAGTCCTCCTTCATCTATCACGCTCGACGGTCAAAGCACGTTGCACCCGATCGATCGACCGCGTTGTAATTCGCGCCCTCGCCTCTCATTGGTCAGTGTTTTTGGCCAATAACTCGTAAACAAAGCCGCAGATTGCATTTTTGCAAAGGAAAAAGTTACTTAGAATGACAGCAGCTACCCCCCACTTCCGTGATGCGAGACATTTTCGGGACACCCAGTGTATACAATATATAGGATATCCGAAATTGTTACTTCCGAGAAATGCGGAATTCCTGATGTTATATAAAATAACTTTTTCCTTAGCGCAAATGTAATTCGTGTAATTTGTTTACGAGTTATTAATATAAAACAAACCCAACGAATGAGAGGACAAATTCGTGGATTTCATTTGCACTAAGGAATAAGTTGCTTTAAATGACTACAGACGGCTCTCATTTCCCGAAAGTAACATAATTTTGGGTCACCCTGTATATATCTGTATTCAACGATTAACACGTTCCGTGCCGAGCTTTTTTTACTCGAATCTTCACACTTTGATATTTTACTAAAACTTGATGTATTACGTGCAATTATTAATTCTCGTACACATAACAACGTAACAAAAACTTATCAACGCCCATTCTTGCGGTGGAAATTGATTCTTCGGTTCTAAATTTCTTGTAAACAATTTGTTCAGTTCACTAAGTAAACATGCAAGCGTGTACCATGGATGGTACACGTGGCACGGAACGTGTTAAGAATGTTTTGGTTCGGTTTAGTTCAGATCGCTTCGGACCGCCCTACACCACCGTTCGCTTCCAGCAACGAGAACGCGTTAAAAAGCCGCGGCCACCTCGCTGCCACTGCGTGAACCGCAGCACGCCGAGAAGTGCGGCACTAGCGACCGTGGCGCGATGCTACGTTTGGCCCGCGAGCTGAGCGACGATTTCGGGAGTGGGAAGGTTTGGCATCGAAAACGTATCCGTTACAGCATTTTCAAATTTTTTGTATAGCCTAATAAAAGAGTTGAAAAAACGTGACTTTTTTATTCTTTTGTCATTCCAAGTTGCCCTCTAGCCTGACACGCTGTACAATTGCTGTCGTGTGGCACTTTGGGGGCAAAGCAAACCACAAAACTCCTTACACGGACACGGAGTTAAGACTGGGTCTTCCGTACCCGGCCTAATGACCGATAAGAGAAGGCGATGGTTTACCCACGTTCGGACCCCTCGTAGGTGTTCCGTCGGGGGGTGGGTACTAAATTTCTTGTGTATGCCAGACCTGGCGAGGAAACATATCTGCGCCACCTTCGCGGTGGCCAGATTTGCAATAAATGTCATTCCAAGTAACAGCAAAATTAAAAATATATACTTTAGCTATTGTCTAGTAGATTAACTCTTCCATCATCTAAAAACAAATTCAATACATTTGACCCTGTTTTAAAAAAGTTGTCGCGTTTTAAAAGGTGTACGAACAATATTGAGAGTTACTGTATTTTATGACGTTGTTAATTTTATTCTTTATAATTAATGATGATCATACAAAATTGATAGTGAATCGTTGTATGACTCGCATTTTAAAGTCGGTTAGTTATGTTAGTTAGTTAAGTTATCGGTTGAAGACCGATTTTATGTGGAAAATTATTCTTTCTTTGCAAGAAAGGAAATTGATTGCGTTTTCCTGTACGTCGTTTTTCTACGATTTCATTATCGTATCGTCTGTGATAATTAAAAGTGACTGATCATAGGTCGACAGCTTTCATTCGTACAGATTACTTGTTTTTCCGAGATTGATTTCAAATAAGAAGTGATATTCCTTTTAAAATAATTTGTGTCATTGGCAAAAAAAAAGAAGAAATGTCAAAAGGTCTGCATTTCCAGTGAATATCGACAGTTAATTGATTTTTTACGATCTCGTCGCGCAGCTGAAATAAAATTTTGCTGGTTCTAGAAGAAAGCAAACTGCGTTCGCATTTCTTAGTTTAGTCTGCGCAACACTTTTATACAACATCCTGTAAACATTGCAGATAAGTTATCTATGTTACTGTGATCTTACATCGTTTTTCCGAGGCAGCAGTATTCCGTGAATTATTTTCTCGACATCTCCTCGGTTCGTTTCGTGTCAGTATCTCACTGTAAATAAAACTATGCGCGACGATATTTGTGAACGCGGCGAAGGATTTTCAAGTTTTCGAAAACAACCGAGCCTGTCCGTATGTTTGTTAAACGATTTCTTCGAATTGTTTCTCCGTGACCGATAATGAAATTCGGTGTCACTGCTGAATCGAACGCGATGTGGTCAATCGTGCTGACACAATTAAACAATCGATTCGCCGACTTGTCGACTGCAGCACCAGCAAAACGAATCAGAGTGCATGTTGATAATCTTCAGCGGAGAAATATTTGAAACGTGAGAAATGCGCGAAGACGGTAAGCATAATTTCAGCTAAATAAATTGAAGTTTCCCGTTGCTGATAAAATGAAACGGCGTGGCAACTGATTTTTGCTGACAAAGCTATATTTTTAATGCTCGTGACGAAAACTTTATTGAATATTGATACATATTGATTGCAATGAACGGCGGTTTAGCTGCAATCGTCAGTTATTGTACAGAATTATAGCAAACATACTTAATATCGCGATGAAAGATTAAGTAGTCTGGTTAGCTCCAGGATCTTACAAAATTCTTGATTATAGATCATGCGACGCGGTTCGCTATCGCTATAATTAGTACGTTGCACACTGTCATGTTTACAATTTTATAGTAAGCGATTGCGCTTGGCTGTGTTATTTTTACATTATCACCTTATATCGAAGTCTTATTAAATTGCGATTAGCTGGAAAACTGTATAAAGTGTGTATCGCGCCAATAGAAAGCCTTATGGTTAATAAAAGCGTGTTATTTATCGCGTGTATTATTAGTCTCCAAAGAAAAATATCTATTAAGTGAACGAAACGATCACATGGATCAGACGTGTGCATATCTAATCGATATATAATCGCTATATAATCGATAATTTAATTATGCTAGGTGCACAGGTTCTGCGCGATCAAGGATATTCCTGCAGGTTAATTAAAACTGATGGATTTAGCTGGATTCATTGCACTAACAACATCGAAGAACTACCTTCTTTTGATCTAAAACTCGACCCGAAAATTCTCAATCGACGATCTAAATCTCTGACTATAAGAAATCATGGTCTAAAAATTTGCTCATGTTCAACACAGTTTGAAAAAATACAAATAATTCTCCACTATCGTTCCCTTACGTTCTCTTCATTAGGTCGTCAGACGGCAATACAGGGTCGTACAAAATAAGATAAAAACGCAAGAAGTTAAATTCAATTAAATCATCTCGGCCACAAGGTGCAGTATTAAAGAAGTCGGCGCGGCATCAAATGAAAGCCGACAAAAACTCTTCGACATTCGACTGGTTACATGATCGGCCATCGAAAGACGGCAACCTCGGTCCGAATCCTGTTGCACAAGATCAAAGAGTCGCGGGGACCAGCCGAAAAGAAGTCGCTAAATCAACAAATTAAACGAAATCAAACTCCGCAACGTCGGGCCGAACCTTAATTCCAGTAAAAAGGAAACGGACGGAGAGTCCATCCCGGTTAACCCGGCATCCCAGAAAAAGAACGCGAAGAGAGAGTCACGCCCTACGAACCCAAACGTCGTAGAATGAAACCGGTCCACGGCGGAAAAGAGTCCAGTAAAAGCTAGGCGTTGTCCAGGTGTTCAGGACGTCTGCAGGAGGCAATGTGCCAGCGACCTTGGTCCCCGATGTCCTCGACATTCTCGTGGGATCGGTGGTGGCGTGCGACGACCGATTGGTCGAGGCTGGTAGCGCTCGATCATTGGCTCGCTCCGATCAAACGCACTGTCAACGCCGCGTCGCGACCGTCTTCAGGACCGATTCTCTCGTCTCGCTGTCGTTTCCACGCGACGTCGCGCCGTCAGCCGTCTTGCCAGCGGTCGGGTCACGAGCATAGCTTGGATTATACTATATCGGCTTCTCGATTGCGTTGGTCGCCTGCCCCGCATCGAGAAATGCGTGGGACGCCGGGAAAGGTGCTCGCACCGGTCTCCTCCGGCTCGCTGGTAGTCACCGGTTCGTGATTAAGAGAGCAACGTCGCCGGGGAACTCGCTCGAGAACCTCTTTGCCGAGAACGCACGATCCTCGCAACCTGTTACCGGTCGCCGGTTGCGAAATGCGCCCGTTACGGGAACTACCTGTTCACTGGCTCTGACTCGCACCCAGCGAACGGTTCGTTTCTCGCGTCTCTCGCGCGTCTTGTACCTCTTGTGCGTGGACATCCAGAACGTGGATAGAACAGCTCCGGTGAAAGTGAACACCGACGAAACCGCCTTCGTCGTTCGGGACTCCTGTGTCCAGTGAATCCCGTGAAGATTTTGGGCCGCTGGTGGTCCGCCGAGCGAGCGACCGGCTGAGAACCGCTGACCTGTGATTTTACGAGAGCTAGATATTTGTGGTTTTATGGTACCGCGCGAGTCTTTATGGTTTTATGACGGTTTCTGTGGAAGTGTAATTTGCTTTCTGCGAGGCGTCGAGAGCGGAGGGGTCTTTGTATCGGCTTCGGACAGTTCGCAGTGGCCTGGTGATCGACGAGGTGTGCATTGTTTCTGGCTACTTGTTGTCGGCTTCCGACGTTCAGAATTACTTGCTGAAGTTTTTGCCTCGAGCTTTTTGTGTTTGTTTTGGAGAACTTCGTGTCTTCGCGACCGAGAAGCTGTACTTTGACTTCGTTCCGCGATCTGGAACAACCTTTTTGCAATTGCTCCGCGCGTTTTTATGCGATCACGAGTTCTTGTGGTACCGTTTGATTTTGCAATTGTTCCGATATGAGAACATCGTATCGTCTTTGAGGAATTTTCAATGTTCCGGCTTCCCTTTATTACGCGACATTGTACATTTTGTTCGCGATCAAACGACGTTGCTAGAACAATCGGGTCTCGGTCGTCTGTACTATCTCTGAACGGTGCTGAATGCTTCGAATTTAGCAATTTAATACCGTTCGCAAAAATTGGAATGGAATACTGTTTCTCTTGTTAATAAACTTTATTACCGTGATATCGATACGAGAACAATTTAATCCACCAGTGAAATCGTATATTTCATGCTCCGTCCGGCTCTGTGAAATTCGTGAAATCCACTGCCTAATTATAACTTTTTACATGCAATTTCATTCGAATATCGGAGTAAAGGATCTGGGGCGCGTGACACGATGATTTGAATCGCGTACTGTTTTTTGTTTTGTTTTTCGTTAATTTCTCATGGACGACCGAGCACTATCGACAAACATTTTTTTACGCGTTAGTCTCTTCGAACGAGAGAGCTTGTTACGTTTTCTCTACAGCGACTCCCATTAATATTCGCACGCCCATTAAAACACAACAGCTTTTTCTGTTTTTAAATTGGACCAAAGACTATAATTCTACTCGGTCGATATCGGAAAAGCGCGAATGCTTGTTCGCCTGTGCTTGTATCGAACATTTGAAAAAATACCATTTTTCAATTTATATCTATTGTATACCATCGAAATCGGTTGACGTTCTTACGAGCTGTAAATGATTCAGGACGATCTACAATTGTAAGTGATTTAGAAATTATTCTACGTATCGACGCTTGCCATTCATTTTCTCATCAAACGATTTCGATAAAATCTTCCAAATATAAACATCTCGAAAAAAGTCTGCGAAACGTAAATTATATATTTTTAATACAGATTCAGATAAAAACTTATTAACACGAAAGCCTTCGGCTGTACCAGATTTCTATTAAACGTCATCTAGGAAATTAATTCTTGAATAAATTAAATTGTATTAAAGAGAGAGAGAGAGAGAGAGAGAGAGAGAGAGAGAGAGAGAGAGAGAGAGAATAATCGAATATTAATGGATGTCTGCACGTGGACCGGTCGTTCTGTTTCCTAGCAGATCTTGCATAATTTGCTGTTACGCGAAAGATTCTTGAGCGGCCGGATCGGTAGCACACGCGGATCAGGTTAATTTTGGACGGCGCGTTTTCGTGTGGAACGCCGGTCGAACGCTACTTTCGTAATTGACGGAGAAATTCTTTCGCTTGGAATCTGATACTGCTGTCACACCGGCGACTATTGACCAATTGACGTGGTGGGGCAGCGAACGCGTTGAAATCCACAATGGCAGCACGCATCGGACGTGACCGAAATGAAAAGTCTGACACGATAATGCGTTTCACTTGCTTTAAACGCTCGACTAAATGCTTAGCGGACACTATTTTCTACATCCGCCTACCGGATACTCTTCGACACACATACAACGCCCCGTTAAATACATCGCTGCCCCGATTAATCGTTCTTGGCAGCCCGTGCGTCGTCGCGTCGTGCGCGTCGTTCCTGCCCCAAAATTTCAATCGTCCTCTAGGAACTCTTAACCCCTTAACTCACAGTTTTTTTTTAAAAAACCGACCCAAGAAATCAATTTTTTAAATTTAAAAAGCACAATTTAGAACATTGTCTTGGCAAAAAAAATTAAAAGAATACAAAAATAATCAAAATTTTTGTTTTAAGTTTGGATTTTGATCCACATTGCAGAAAAGAGCAGAATATTGCAATGTTACACGTACATCGACTTTTTTATCTTTCTTTTCGAATTGCTATTTCGGAAAAAACATATTTTTATCGGTAAAAGTAGATAAACAATATCCAACCAAATCCACATCTTCAAAGGTTTCCATTTGTCACCGGCCCTGATTTAACTTTTCTTTTGGTGGAGAATTTTGATATACTGCGCTTTTGTTCCATGGAAAAAGGCTATATTTTATTCTTGAATAAATAAGTGTTATAGCTTACAATCCCATGTAAATGATAAATATCAATAAAACGATTTTTTTCTTCGCTTTCACATTGTTATTTTCAATTCTCGATTATATTCGAGTGTGAAAAATTATAGCAGTATTAAATACAACGCCGCTCGAATTGTCTCGAGTGTGCACAGTTTGGCCTGTTCAGCGCGCTCGAATGAACTCGAGCGTACAAGTTAAGGAGTTAAATCCTTGATATCGATGAATGCTGTTTATGATCTGCTTGCCGAGAATTTTTATTGCAGACTTTTAATGAAAATAATTGAGCGATCGTTAGTCAACGGTGAATCATTGCAATAATTCTTGCATTTGCGTACGGATGTCTGAATTGCTGCTACATTGCCGTCTTAAATTATGCGAGATTGTAGGAAAATCACGTTAAATTAATTTAGTGCGACTACTGCGTCGGAAATGTATGAAAAATTCGCTTCGCTTTACTTATTCGTGATCGTCTCTCATTGATTACTAATTTAAAAAATATTTCTTTCTTGAAACAATCGATAATTTCTATCATCGATATCGCAAACTTGACAAATAAAATACTGATAATAACAGTTGCTCATCGATCGAAGAACCAAACGACGAATTAGGGAACGTATCAAAAGAACAATCAGAGCGATACGAACAAGCGTCATTTAGATAAAAATGAATATAGTATTCCCGGCGCATCGCAATCATTTCAGCGTCACGTTACAACATTTTTCCATTTTCGCCGTGCAAAATGGCTTCACTTTTTCCGCGCAATATTCCAGCTATCGAATATTCAAGCTCGTTCGACTAATTACTCGCGCGGGTGCGTTCCCTGCACTTACATTTCCGATGGAAAACGCGGACGTTCGCGCGTTCGGCAAAAAAAGGAGTCGTTTGATCCCGGCGCCGATTGAGCAAGAGAATGATCACCACGGTCGTTACATTTCAATTTAAAATCATGCACGTCACCGACCGTTTCTTTTCTTTTCTTTTTTCATATTTTACGAGCGGTTTCCGACCGCCGCCGGGTCAACGGGAAACGGGCGTACGTCGAAAGAATGGCTCGTCCTTCGGAGATGAAAGCGACTGCCTTCGGCCCACCGTGTGATCGTCGTCTGCTTTCGGATACACGTGGCCTTGACATTGTAGCATCGTGCCATAGATCGATTACATAAGCCCGATGAGAGAAAGATGAAATCTCCCGACTTAGCTCTAGCTACGAAACACACGTCTCGTTTTACCTCGGGACTCACCTGTCTTCCAGCGACCGTGAACCGTTTCGTTGGTGAGTCAGACACGATCTCGACGTTCGCAGAATCGATGTTTGATCTGTGTTTTGCCTACGTCATCGCGGAACGTGTCGCTTCGACCCGAATCGCCGTCAATTCATTATGAATTTCTTCCTGTCCGCGCTGTAATTCAAGCTATAATTAAAGCCGAAGTTCATTTATTAAACATTCGTCGTTTGCTATTAAAAGCACGTTCGCTTGCAAATTTATTAAAAGTACATTTTTACGACGGCACCTTTTACCTTCTCTTTCCGTGCGCGCGTCAGTGATATTTAATATTTTATTCTGCCCGTTCCATTAGTCGAGTGTTAACGATCCAGGAATTGTATCGTTCCCGTCGTACTTAATCAAATAGGAGCGATATTTCCGCGAATCATTCAGCACCTCGATTCTGTTTCGAGCAATTACTCGAGCGGGAAATAAACTGATTCAAAAGGCAAAAAAACTCGGCATGTTTGTTATGGCAAACAACCTCCAACAAACCTAACGAGATCGTTCGAATCGCGGCCTGATCGAAACAACGTCGAGACCCAATCGGTATCGTTCTCGATCCCGCGCCGATTTCACTTGCAAATACGGCACAATTAAAGAAACGATCGACTGTCATTATAAGTGCAACGATGCGTTATAGTTGCGCGACGGCTCGAATCGCAAACCGAGAACCGCCGCGCGCCACGCCGGCGGCCTTGTTGTTATGCGTTCCCCGATCTCGGCGACTTACCAAAATGGCAACGTCCGCGAAATTCCAGCTGCGCCGAGAATCTTTCTTTGTTCGAGCCGGACTGTCTGACGTCGTCGCCGCCCGGTTGAAAATACCTCGCGGTTTTTCTTCTCTTTTCTCTCGGCGGACTGTAAACTGTCATCGGTCCCGCTCCTTTGTTCTCCTCGAGACTCGGCGAAAAAACTGAACCGCCAGTCGCGGCGCGAACCTGGCCGAAAATCGCGCATTCGAGCGATTTTTGTCTGGAATTTTAGTGGAACGATGGTATCCAAAATTTTGAATCGCGCTTCAATATAGACGTGATAAAAATGCCATTCATTTTTAATCTAAACTTTAACATGCTGCAACAATTTGCAATTCTCATTTCTTTCGTTTTGTCCGAAAAAAAATATTTTTAACGTATTATTTAACAGACAAATTTGTGCTCTTTTTCTTTATCGTAACGACGAACTTAATTTACATTTTTAAACGTTTTCAGAAGTCAGAATCTCTGAGGAAAAGATTTAATTTCCGGTTATTCTGTTTTCAGGTTCAATTTTGTTCGATTAAATTTCGTGGATCCGAAATGATTCCCAAGCCTTGAACATTGTTTCGATCGAATGAAACAGCCTTGATCGTTGTTCGATCTGTTGACTTCAGTGTTAGACACTTTGATCGATGATTGACATAAAAGGCCGGTCTTAGACCTCTAATGACCAATAATATGCACCGGATAGAACTCGAGGTCGGACCGCTTTCGCAGTGTCAAATATCAAACGCGTGACCGTGTCTCGTCAGGAAAAAGGATAACGTCACCGCGACTGTCAATGCCACTTATTCCTGCGTCGACCGTGATGTAATGTTTAACTTCGATTTTTCATCTTACGCAAGCCGGAGATGTATTGGCATTGCTTTATTGACAGTGCGCGTTCATTCCTAGAACGCTGGAGCGTCTCTTCCGCTTGTTATTGAATTTTCGTTGTTGTTGATGCTTCTGCAAACATAGTAGATTTCTCGGTGCTCATTTGCGGAAACGGACGAGCGATTCTGTTGTTAGTGGACCGTGGAAGATGATCGTAAAATAGATTTGTTTAGGCTGCGGTTGGTAGACAACGAATGCTTATGCAAAATACAGATTGGAAATAGCCAACGATAAATGATAATGCGTTTGGGCTTAAAAAATGTCATGTTTTATTAAACGGTACAATTATGTGGTTGGGTTTTTACGATTTATTATTTATGCATTCATTTTTTGACGAATGTATGAAGTTTGTTGACTATCGCGCAGATTTTTTAAATCATTCATTCTCGTTGACTGTTTGCGACATTTTATGACAACGTAAATATACTAAACAATAGCGCTACTGTTATAAAGTATCTACTAAATATACGTTAACTACTAACTTAATCGTTTAATCTTTTTAAAGCTCAAATATTTTCATGTATAATATATGTGTTATTCCAGAACAGTAAATTCATTTTTTAGATTTTCTTACTTGACAGAAAGAAGAATGAGTCACAGTTTCGTATTTAATAAAGTCTTCTACGATTTAAAACTGTTCTTTATTAGTTTAGTGTGTGACATACACGAGCATGAGCGTTGAGAGGCTAAGTGTTTAATACGTTTAACACTTTGAGAGAGCGATTTTACATTACATTATTAATGTAATTTATTAGAGCACATTAAGCCGATTTTGTTGGGTTTTCCGTTGGAACGACAGGCCGGCATTATTTTTTAATCTCCTCATAAATAACCTCCCATACGCCAATGCCGTCCAAAGGATAGGTTCGTTGTCAGTCCCTGGGAATTGACGCCGCCCCAAAAAAAGTAGACTGACAGCGCCCAAACGGAAAGTTCACTGTCAGCCCCAGAGGACTGACGCCGCCCTCAACGTGTTAACCAGTTAGCCGTGTCGGACGAGTATACTCGTCATGCAGAAGTGCCAGTATTTTGCGTCATGACGAGTATACTCGTGCGTAAAAAGTAGTGACCATTGGCTATTTAAATTGTAATTTTAGTAAAAACAAAAACATTCTGAAATTTCAAGATGTTTAGAATATTTTGAGGCCAGGCCAGAATAAAACAAACAAATAAAAAATATGAATAATTATATGAACAATTCACGATACTGCACGATAGTGCAAAGTGCCATTATGTATCGTAATTTTTATCTTTTATAAGTATTCGATTTTCCCGGCGTTTTTCGTATATTACGTATATTTTAGTATATGTTAATGTTAAGTGAATAAGTAAACATCGGTAATAAAATTGTTAATTTTATCAAATAAAACCGTCTTTTTGATCCAATATTTTAACAGCGACACTTACTCTGTGTTTGATGAGTATACTCGTCGTGAGCAGTGTCACAGCTAACCGGTTAATTAGTGGTATTTATAACGAACTGGACTTACCCTGATCTTTATATAATTAATAATATGATTGCAGGTGTCACAGGATCTCGTCAGGAGAATCCTGGACGAACAATCCCGGAAGTATGATCGCCCAAATACGCCGCGGCTCTTGATTTCAACCTGCACCGCCAGAGAACGATCGAGGAACAATGTTGCCGACGTCGAGGCTGTTAAGCGAGGATCCACCAGGATCTCCGGACCCTGGCGCGCCTTCCAGGGATCCGGCAGCGGGATTGGCTGTTCCGTCGATCGTGGTAGAGGACGCTGAAGGAAACGACGACGATCCGCCGCCTTACACCGCGATCGCACCTCCGAATCACGTCGGCTGGCCGTTCGTCTTTTCCGGGATTCCGTATTCGTTCTGCGGCACGACGCCCTGCAGAGCGAACGCGCCGTTGGCGTCGTTCCAGCCGTTGGCCCCGACGCCGACGCCGATGCCGACGCCGGCACCGACGACGACGTCGGGCTCGGCGTTGCGTCCCGAAGGGACGGACGGTCAGCAGGCGTCAATCTCCGTGCCTTTAATGCCCTGCCAGCTGTTCAAGTTCGGCTCTCACAGATCTCTGTTCGGGCACAGAGGCCTGCCGTTCTCGGATAACATCTCCGTGAGCAAGGGCGGCCACGGAAGGACGCGCAGTAAGTACCGAGCGGTTTACTTATTCAAGCCCCCCAGAGCTGTTGACGACCTTCCGATGAGTCGGTTTCTCGACTGCCGCGACGCATTGGCCGTTCCGGTCGCTATTAGCGCAGTTTTATTTCCTGATTGAGAGAGAAAAGATGACAGGACTTGTTGTTTTTGCTAATGGTTTCTTCGGGCCTCTTTTAATCCAGTTTGTCAAGCTCGCGGTGAAAAGCTATCTAGCAAGGCGAAAATAGAAGCTGTAAAATGAGCTATTTGTTGTATTATTTTTGGTTACAAAGTTACGATCGGTTGAACATTTATATATCATTCTTTATACAGGGCGTCCCAAAAATGTCTCGCAATCCGAAAGTGGCGGATTCCTCAGGTCATTTGAAGCAAATTTTTCCTTTACAAAAATTTTCTCCGAGGCACCGTTAACAAGTTATTAACGAAAAACAGTGACAAAAAAACGTGAACGAGTACGGTTGACGCGAGGCGGCCCAGTCAACCAGCGCACGAAGCCCACTTCCGCTCATTGGCTCGGTCGCCTCGCGCCAGCTGAGCTGGGATTCGACCGCCTCGACCGCTGGCGCCGTTGGCTCGGCCGCCTCGCGCCAGCCGAGCTAGGATTCGGCCGCCTCGACCGCTGGCGCCGTTGGCTCGGCCGCCTCGACCGCTGGCGCCGTTGACTCGGCCGCCTCGCGCCAGCTGAGTTCGCCTCTCATTGGTCATTGTTTTTCGTTAATAACTCGTTAACGGTGCCTCGGAGAAAATTTTTGTAAAGAAAGAAGCTGCTTCAAATGATCTGAGGAACCCGCCATTTCCGGATTGCTAGACATTTTTGGGACACCGTATATAATACGTGGAATATACCAAGGATGGACAAACTATAGTCTATGTGTTCCTTTGATATTCCTAATATATGTCCTGTGCATATAATAACAAATAAATAAATAAATAAATATTGAAATTCTTCTAACGTCTTTACAGTTTGAAACTTCGTCTATGCACTTTTATCATAAAATTCTCGGTTTACTAATAATAATATTTAGAATTCACTGTGCGAATTTCAACACGCAATTCCAAAATGTAGTATCAAATTAATATTTATGGTGGATGGATGTGCGTAAATAGCAGGGATAGCCAAACTTTTAATCACTACGAACTTAATCACTAATTTTAGGCGCAGTCTACCAACATCGCATGTGTTAAGTGATCATAAGAAAAGTAGTAATTTGAAGCCAAAAATAAGTTTAAATTGAAAATAAACGTAGTTAATATCAGCCAGATGGACGACTAGGAATAGTCAATGCTTTGGTCACCCCTGAGCTTTACTGCACAGTCACACCTTTCAGTGCGAGAACAACTTAGCTAAAAATCAATTTGGAAAAGTGAAATTAGAACCGTCGCCATTTAATTCAGATGAGACTTGATGCATTTTTACATAGGTGCACTAGGTTGTACATTTGGTGATTCTTTAATTAGATGTGTGGAATATTTAAGGAACCCCCCCTCCCCACCCTCCGCCTACGTTTACTCGTTTGATTTTTAGCGAAAAAATCTCTGCGAGAGGAGAACAGTTTGGCAAAGAGGAAACAAGGTTTGTGGTTTAAAATGTACCTATGTATACAGTAGTATACATATTTTTTACACAGTTACAAAGGGTGAAACCATTTAGTGATGCTTTACTTTTGATCATCCGAGTTGAAGTAGCCGAGAAGTGGAAACAATGTATTGTTTCTACATTGTTGATCAAAAGTAAAGGATCACTAAATGTTCAACCTATCGTAACTCTGTGAAAAAAAAGTCGGTCGACAATGCAACGCGGTTATTTGAATGGTTGAACCTTCAATTTTTACTCCTGTCAGTTATTTTTTTTGCTGAAGGGTCAGTTTGTATTAAAAATTAAATAGGAAAGCGTAGTTGGCTTTTTCTTCAAAATTCTACATTTTCTTGACCGACGATAACTAACCGTTTAAACTGTTGCAACGCTACGAAAAAAAAATCAACCGCCAATGAAACTTCGCTTATTTCAAAGTTAGAGCTTCTACTGTCACCTCTTCAAGCGGTATTTTTCTTGGAAACTTTTTTGCACTGTGAGTATAGTGCGAGAAAGTGTAGTTGGTCTTCATCTCGACAATTTCGCAATTTCTAACGTGTTTGCAGTATTAACCAATTCCCTGTTGAATTACTTTAAACTATTTGCTTCTTGTTAGTTATTATATTTGTTTCTCTTTCGACGAAGGAAAGACACATATTGATTGATTGAAAAATACATATTTTTGTTAAATGAAATACGGCTTTCTATATTCTTATGCTCTAACATTATTGTAAGCGGGTTGGAAAGGTTTTTCCATAATTCAAGCTACTGTGGATTTGAAGATTGGAACATCCTCACGCCGAGGTAAACAAATTCGTTTTACGACTTGACTGACAAGTGTGCTTCTTAGTGGTTTAAATCACGATCGAATAAAACAAGTGATCATGTTATTTAAACAACGTTTCTTAAAATAAAAAGAACCACCTTTCCATGAGAAAAAAAGGACACGAGTAACGCATCCAAATTGTTTCCCCTAAATTCGAATTTTCCCGGACGGATTATAAAGCAATTCCTGAAACAAAATTATTCGCGCACCCTGCTCATCGTTTTACTCGTGGATCACTAAAACCGCATTTACCGCGCGAACGAAATCAATGTCGACGCAACGATGCGATTAAACTAAAAATAATGCATAAAGCTCCGGCTGAAATGTACTTATTCTTAATCACGACAAAAAGTACAGTGTCTGGTCGCATCGAAACTGCTTCATTTCGCTTGCGTGGCATGGAATCGGTGGTTTCCCGTCCAGGGTTTTGTTCTTGGAACGATTTCGCGGTGTCGGAACGCGAGGCCGCGTCGATTCGCACGTAAAGTGCATGGAGAATTGGCGAGCACGCCGACGAGTGGCGCGTTTTATAAAATTTCCCGGCGCGGCGTTTTGCAGCCGGCGCGGTAACGAGATCTTTAACGCTCAGTTTTCACAGAGCCCGTAATTCGACGCGCTGAAAATTCATTACAATAAATGTTTCAGTGTAATCAGCGAATATAACACCGGGCTGAACGCGCCTCGGCTCCGCTTTGTGCTTTCTCTGCCTTCTTTTTCTTCAGAAACTCGCTTTTTCCATGCGCGACCATTATCTTCTCGTTTCAATATGTGAAATTAAATTCGTTACATAAACGTACGCTGCGAACAAACGTTATTTCTTCCGTTGCGAACGATTCGAAATTAAAAAAGCTCTTGCTGCTCCGGTTTAAATACCATTTTATTTCGTTTACGAACGAAAAGCACACTGCTGCAGACTTCGCTAAAAATATCACTGAGCGAAATCGCTTTTCTTTTTTTCTTTTTTTTACGTGCACACACGCTGCTGGAATCGCCGATGTTACGATGGTTGCTTTAGCTCGTTGGCGTCCGTTAACTTTGTTCGATGAAATATCGTTCGCCTGATAGAATCGTACGTCCCGTACATAGCAAAACTCGAACGGTGCAATTATTCTATTTATAGAAACGAGCTAATCTTTTCGAAACTTCAGTTACAGTAATGTCTCCCTAATTCGCGCTCAGAGTGCACGCAGAAATGGACAATTTGGGAATAGGAGATACGATTATTCGAGCCTTGCAGCTCGTTTTTATAGTTGTTGACAATTCGTAACTACAAAAACGAAGAGCAAGACCCGAATAATCGTATTTCCACTTCCCAAATTATCCATTTTTGTGGACAACCTGAGCGTCAATTAGGGAGACATTACTGTACTATTCGAGCGATACGACACGTTTATTTACATATTCTCTGATATAAAAGGTAATTCATTCTATTATCCTATGCGACCTAAACTGAACTTTCAAAACGATATAAACAGACCATCGAGCATTTAATAGAAACAGCTACAAAAATCGTCTTAGTATTTACCGTGCAACGATTAAAACATCCCTAATCGCAGTTATTCAAAAATGAAGATAATCGCGAAACCTTTTGCAAGCATCCACCTAAACGAGAATTTACTCACCTTGAATTTTTTGTATGCTACATTTATTCGTATTGTTATAAATAAGAATATTATTCAATATTATATTGAATATTATTATAATATATAATATATTATTATATATTATATTATATATTATTATTATTATATATTATATATTATCATTATTATTATTATTATATATTATTTATATTATAATATATATAATATATTATTATTATATTCAATATTATTCAATCAGTAATTTCTCCTTAATTCGCGCTCAGATTGCGCACAAAAAATGGACAATTTGGGAAGAGGAGATGAGATTATTCGAGCCTCGCGGCTCGTTTTTACAGTTACCGAATGTCAAGTATAGTTATCTCGAATAATCGTATCTCCTCTTTCCAAATTGTCCATTTTTGTGCGCAATCTGAGCGCGATTTAAGGAGAAATTAACTATATTCGTTCTAGTTGCGCAAAGATAATATAAATACGAATGTTTGTGTCAACAGGATATGGCGCAATACTCGTGGCCGCGGCGGTCATCATCTTCCTGATGGCGCTGTCGTTGCTGGTGAGGTTCGTCATGGAAAAAAGCCTCTGGAGACGCTAGGAGATGCCGAGGATACGTCGATTTCCCGACGCGGGGAACGCTTTTCTCCATTCCCGATCCGGACTGAATCTAGAGTAAGCGTTATCACGGGAGTAATTCCCTCCGCGTCAACGCAAATTGCAAGTATAATTAGAACGCGATTGCTGTCGCCTTTTGTCTCGCCTCGGAACAGAATGCTCGCGAGTCTGCAGTCCTGTAAATCGTAAGTGCAATATTACATGCATGTATCCTCCGAGATCCATGCATTGCATATCGCGCGAATGCCATTTCGCGGTTCGACATTAGTCCTTAAACCTAATGTACTTGTATAGTGCGTAATTTTTTACTTCTACTTGGTATTTTGTAACTGTGTAAGAAATAGAGAATCTGATATTTTAAGAGACCTCTTCCTGTTTTATTTGAACCGTTTCTTCCGCTTTCTATCCTAGTGATTCGACGTTTTAAATGAACGTTTGCTTGGAAGTTTAATTACTTGCCTTGTAAGATGCTGGTATAAATTTTAATTTATACAGCAAAGATGTTTATACGCAACGGAACGTTATTTCTATTACAAAGAATTTCAACATTTCTAAAACGATGTAATGCATTTTTCTAAGTAAAGCCTTGAAATAATCTGCGTACTTGTCGCAGATCAGTGTTTAAAAAAGATCAAGGTTATGTCACGATTATATCAAGTTTTTTTATTAAAAAGTTCAACTACTTGCCTTGTAAAATGCTGGTATACATTTTAATTTATACAGTAGAAATGTTTATATGCAATGGAATATTATTTCTATTACAAAGAATTTCAACATTTCTAAAACAATATAATATAATAACAATATAACAATATAATAGCAATATAACAATATAATAGTAATATAACAATATAATAACAATATAACAATATAATAACAATATAATGCATTTTTCTAAGCGACTTGAAATAATTTGCGCACTTGTCGCAGATCAGTGTTTAAGAAAGATCAAGGTTATGTCACGATTATATCAAGTTTTTTTATTAAGAAGTTCAACTACTTGTCTTGTAAAATGCTGGTATTCATTTTAATTTATACAGTAGAAATGTTTATATGCAATGGAATATTATTTCTATTACAAAGAATTTCAACATTTCTAAAACAATATAATATAATAACAATATAATAATATAATAACAATATAACAATATAATAGCAATATAATAATATAATAACAATATAACAATATAATAACAATATAATAATATAATAACAATATAACAATATAATAACAATATAACAATATAATAGCAATATAACAATATAATAACAATATAACAATATAATAAAAATATAATATAACAATATAATAAAAATATATAATAACAATATAATGCATTTTTCTAAGCGACTTGAAATAATTTGCGCACTTGTCGCAGATCAGTGTTTAAGAAAGATCAAGGTTATGTCACGATTATATCAAGTTTTTTTATTAAGAAGTTCAACTACTTGTCTTGTAAAATGCTGGTATACATTTTAATTTATACAGTAGAAATGTTTATATGCAATGGAATATTATTTCTATTACAAAGAATTTCAACATTTCTAAAACAATATAATATAATAACAATATAATATAATAACAATATAATAATATAATAACAATATAACAATATAATAGCAATATAACAATATAATAACAATATAACAATATAATAAAAATATAATATAACAATATAATAAAAATATAATATAACAATATAATGCATTTTTCTAAGCGACTTGAAATAATTTGCGCACTTGTCGCAGATCAGTGTTTAAGAAAGATCAAGGTTATGTCACGATTATATCAAGTTTTTTTATTAAGAAGTTCAACTACTTGTCTTGTAAAATGCTGGTATTCATTTTAATTTATACAGTAGAAATGTTTATATGCAATGGAATATTATTTCTATTACAAAGAATTTCAACATTTCTAAAACAATATAATATAATAACAATATAACAATATAATAGCAATATAACAATATAATAGTAATATAACAATATAATAACAATATAACAATATAATAACAATATAATGCATTTTTCTAAGCGACTTGAAATAATTTGCGCACTTGTCGCAGATCAGTGTTTAAGAAAGATCAAGGTTATGTCACGATTATATCAAGTTTTTTTATTAAGAAGTTCAACTACTTGTCTTGTAAAATGCTGGTATTCATTTTAATTTATACAGTAGAAATGTTTATATGCAATGGAATATTATTTCTATTACAAAGAATTTCAACATTTCTAAAACAATATAATATAATAACAATATAACAATATAATAGCAATATAACAATATAATAGTAATATAACAATATAATAACAATATAACAATATAATAACAATATAATGCATTTTTCTAAGCGACTTGAAATAATTTGCGCACTTGTCGCAGATCAGTGTTTAAGAAAGATCAAGGTTATGTCACGATTATATCAAGTTTTTTTATTAAGAAGTTCAACTACTTGTCTTGTAAAATGCTGGTATTCATTTTAATTTATACAGTAGAAATGTTTATATGCAATGGAATATTATTTCTATTACAAAGAATTTCAACATTTCTAAAACAATATAATATAATAACAATATAACAATATAATAGCAATATAACAATATAATAGTAATATAACAATATAATAACAATATAACAATAATATAACAATATAATGCATTTTTCTAAGCGACTTGAAATAATTTGCGCACTTGTCGCAGATCAGTGTTTAAAAAAGATCAAGGTTATGTCACGATTATATCAAGTTTTTTTATTAAAAAGTTCAACTACTTGTCTTGTAAAATGCTGGTATACATTTTAATTTATACAGTAGAAATGTTTATATGCAATGGAATATTATTTCTATTACAAAGAATTTCAACATTTCTAAAACAATATAATATAATAACAATATAACAATATAATAGCAATATAACAATATAATAGTAATATAACAATATAATAACAATATAACAATATAATAACAATATAATGCATTTTTCTAAGCGACTTGAAATAATTTGCGCACTTGTCGCAGATCAGTGTTTAAGAAAGATCAAGGTTATGTCACGATTATATCAAGTTTTTTTATTAAGAAGTTCAACTACTTGTCTTGTAAAATGCTGGTATTCATTTTAATTTATACAGTAGAAATGTTTATATGCAATGGAATATTATTTCTATTACAAAGAATTTCAACATTTCTAAAACAATATAATATAATAACAATATAACAATATAATAGCAATATAACAATATAATAGTAATATAACAATATAATAACAATATAACAATATAATAACAATATAATGCATTTTTCTAAGCGACTTGAAATAATTTGCGCACTTGTCGCAGATCAGTGTTTAAGAAAGATCAAGGTTATGTCACGATTATATCAAGTTTTTTTATTAAGAAGTTCAACTACTTGTCTTGTAAAATGCTGGTATTCATTTTAATTTATACAGTAGAAATGTTTATATGCAATGGAATATTATTTCTATTACAAAGAATTTCAACATTTCTAAAACAATATAATATAATAACAATATAACAATATAATAACAATATAACAATATAATAGTAATATAACAATATAATAACAATATAACAATAATATAACAATATAATGCATTTTTCTAAGCGACTTGAAATAATTTGCGCACTTGTCGCAGATCAGTGTTTAAAAAAGATCAAGGTTATGTCACGATTATATCAAGTTTTTTTATTAAAAAGTTCAACTACTTGCCTTGTAAAATGCTGGTATACATTTTAATTTATACAGTAGAAATGTTTATATGCAATGGAATATTATTTCTATTACAAAGAATTTCAACATTTCTAAAACAATATAATATAATAACAATATAATAATATAATAACAATATAACAATATAATAACAATATAACAATATAATAACAATATAACAATATAATAACAATATAACAATATAATAACAATATAACAATATAATAACAATATAACAATATAATAACAATATAACAATATAATAACAATATAACAATATAATAACAATATAACAATATAATAACAATATAACAATATAATAACAATATAACAATATAATAACAATATAACAATATAATAACAATATAACAATATAATAACAATATAACAATATAATAACAATATAACAATATAATAACAATATAACAATATAATAACAATATAACAATATAATAACAATATAACAATATAATAACAATATAACAATATAATAACAATATAACAATATAATAACAATATAACAATATAATAACAATATAACAATATAATAACAATATAACAATATAATAACAATATAACAATATAATAACAATATAACAATATAATAACAATATAACAATATAATAACAATATAACAATATAATAACAATATAACAATATAATAACAATATAACAATATAATAACAATATAACAATATAATAACAATATAACAATATAATAACAATATAACAATATAATAACAATATAACAATATAATAACAATATAACAATATAATAACAATATAACAATATAATAACAATATAACAATATAATAACAATATAATATAACAATATAATGCATTTTTCTAAGCGACTTGAAATAATTTGCGCACTTGTCGCAGATCTGCATGCGCGAGTGTTTAAAAAAGATCGATAAATTCTTAAAACTGATGAATCAGAATCCTATATGCATCGAAAGAGAACTCTTTGTTGTGACAAAAAGCGTCGCATTTCCGTAACTCCGAGCTCAAATATTTCGTCACACTGGATACTGTAAAACAATATTAATCATTGCGTCAATCGTCGAGACGAAGAAGATTACTTTCCGTTCCGTCAACGAGTTGACGTATCGACAACCGTATCGCCTGCCTGACTCCATTATCTACTTCTTTGCAATCTTGTTTTTGCCGCATTCGTTCCGGGAGGTTAATTAAATGAGTAACGTGCGAGAATTCTCCATAAATGTTTATTCCACGTCGCATTGCACGGCACGCCGGAAACCTCGATTATCCGGATTTTCTACGGATGCCGAGAAGGTGCCGTCTCTTTATCGCAAATGAACGGTCGGTCGACAAATCACCTTCGCGACACGACGATACGAAGATTAAATATTTTTGTTGATCCAATATTACGCTCGCGGGAAGATCCGATGGTTGCGTTGGATGTGCAAACATTTGCCTGTTGACATTCGGTCGTGGTCGGCGGTCTGGCTGCTTTCAAAGATCCTGTGATTCTACTTAAAAACTTCTCTGGTTATCCAACCTCGGCAGGGACCAGCGTTACGCAATCGTTTTCTAAACGCTATCACCCTTTTTTTAATTACCCAACCTATTGCTCATTTTTTCTGCCATCAGTGATTTCTGAGAATTTTTCAAACCA